GTGTGTGTGTGTGTGTGTGTGTGTGTGTGAGTGTGTGTCTGAGTGTGTGTGTGTGTGTGTGTGAGTGTGTGTGTGTGTGGTGTATTAACTGTATAGCCTATTGATTGCAAAAGCTTTAATTTAGAAGTAATGATGACTATAATTTGAAGGAGGTATTGAAGCCATTATGTGACACACTCCGGTGCAGTAGGTTGCGCTAAACACATTTAACGATAGTCTACGAAAGAAGACAAATGGGCGGGGCTTATATGTTGTTGACACCTGAGGTCTCTTGCGCATGCGCGCTCTGCGTCCTGAGGATACACCTTTGTGTCGAAACCGAAAGTAGAGTCAGAATGACAGAATGTAAATTCACATTTTGAAGACTTAAAAACGGGCATAAATACCACATTACGGTAAGTTCAGTTATAAGATTTTAATGTCATGTCATATTATTGTAAGATGTTTATGTATTCGCGTTGCTGTCATGTTGTGATGCAGGTAAAATTGGATGATCGGAAATTCATCTTCAGGATTGTAATAATATCGAGCTTTAGGGATTCTGCTTATAGTTCAGATTAATCTACAGGTTCTGTAACGATTAAAATAGGCAAAGGTGTTCAGGTTGATAAGCAGATGTGTGTCTTTGGCTGGTGTTACAGGTGTGACATTATTCTTTGTTGGTATTATTGTAAAGGGATATATTATATATATATATATGAAAGGATATTTTTATATCATTAAAAACAGTATATAAACAGGATTTCATCACCTGTAACGACAGAAGTATGTTCAACAACAACAACAAAAACAGTTTAGTATGAAACTAAATGGCTAACAAATGTCAAACTATAAACTCACTTTATTAAACATTTGTCAAAAGCCTAAAAGCCAGTTATTGATGAGCTAGTTAGCATCAGTAACACAGGTAACAATTGTTAATATTTATGTGCCTCTTTTTTAACTCTCAGATGAACCTGTTTTACAGGGATTCTGCTTTGTCTGTTGTCAGTTATTCAATTATTCAATGAAATTGTCAAAATAACATTTTAAATATAATAGTTGATTTAGTATTTTATATTACAAAAATATCAATTATAATAAGAATTATACTATATCAAAATTATATTCTTACTCCAGATCATCTTACACCTCTTTGAATAGTTTGCATTTTGTGCTATAACAACTAAATTAGCAAGTGTGTCTATTTATTTGCTATAATAACACATTGGCTGACACATCATCATCATCATCATCATCCTACACATGATAATCCAAATATGTTACAATTTAAAGGTAAATGTTCAGAAACTGTGAATATACTGTTTCCAGTAACTTTTCAAATGTTATGTTTGTGCTTTTGAAAATGGAAATTATGCTTATTATTTTGCATTGTGGCATAATTTTGAGAAATTATTTGCATTCTGCAAATTAAATTACAGAATTGTTTAGTTGACCATTTTATTCATACATATCAGGGTGTACATTTACCCATGAACTATCTGTAATGTTAAAAATTATAAACAAAACGATCCTACACCTTTTTCAGGCACTGTTATATAGGTCATACAAACAGTATTACTGAGCATGTCTAGTTAGAGTAGTTGGCTGCCTTGAAACCGATGACAGTGTCTCTTTTCAATAGGGCTGCCCCCTAATAGTTGACTAACTGCTTAGTCTATCAAAATGTTATTAGTCGCTTAGTTGCAGGTAAAAAATCCACAGAAAGTGGCGAAGTCACGTAGTCCGTGACAAACAGATTATTAACAGCTGGTCGGTGAGGTAATTACAGTACATCGGTCAGGACTTGCAAACGTTTTTTCAAACGTTTGTTTTGAACTTTCCAGGAATTTACCGGTTTAAAATGATCTGATCTAGGCATCTAATGATGCATGCCAAGCTGGTTGAAAATCAATAAAAAATATGTGACAATTCAAGTCGTTTGAGATGTTACAGTTACGATACAATTGGGGGCGGGTGTTGTATTATGAATATATATGTGGGGTTTATATGAATGTATATCTGAGAGAAACTGACTGTCCTTAGAAAAGTTTAGATGATATTTTCTTTTCATCTTGCCTCTGTATAATGCATATTTGTGACGAGTGGGGCGGGGCCAAGAGCCGTGGGAACAGAGCGAGGCCTGTGGAGTAAATGATAATGAGCGACACCTGCGCCACTCACCAGGTCTTGAGTCCCACGAAGGAGCTCCGGAAGGATAAAAGGAGATAGAGGGGGCTCAGGTGTCGCCCGGCTTGCAGCTCTACAAATATCTGTCAGAGAGGCGCCTTGAGCCAGCGCCCAGGAGGAAGCAACACTTCTAGTTGAGTGTGCTTGCAACCCGAACGGGCAAGGCATGTCTTAGGATTGGTACACGAAGACAATAGCATCCACTATCCAGTGGGCTAACCTCTGCTTGGAGACAGCCTTTCCCTTCTGCTGGCCACCGTAACAGACAAAGAGCTGGTCTGAGGTCCTAAAGCTTTGTGTTTTGTCCACATACAACTGCAGAGCGCAGATGGGACAGAGAAAAGCTAGGGCTGGGTCTGCATCCTCCGAGGGCAGCGCTTGCAGGCTCACTACCTGGTCCCTGAAGGGAGTGGTAGGAACCTTGGGCATATATCCAGGCCAGGGTCTCAGGACAACGTGAGAGTTGGCCGGCCTGAATTCTAGGCATGATTCGTCAACGAAAATGCCTGCAGGTCCCCTACCCTCTTGATGGAAGCCAATGCAGTCAGGAGAACTGTCTTTAGTGACAGAGTTTTCAACTCAGCTGACTGCAAGGGTTCAAAGGGAGGTCTCTGCAGTGCCATGAACACCAGAGACAGATCACAAGAGGGTACCAAGGTAGGACGAGGAGGGTTCAACCTCCTCGCCCCTCTAAGGAACCTGACAACCAGGTTGTGCTTACCAAGAGACTTACCATCAACTGCATCATGATGTGTGGCATTTGCGGCAACATACACTTTCAGGGTGGAGGGATAGAGCCTTCGCTCCAACCCCTATTGCAGGAAGGAAAGCACGACTCTGACCGGATATCTTCGGGGGTCTTCCTGGTGGGAAGAACACCAATCAACTAACAGTTTCCACTTCAAAACATAGAGGCGCCTCATAGAGGGGGCTCTGGTGGAAGTAATGGTGTCTACCACTGATTGGGGTAGGTCACCTAGAACCTCCGCGTCCCGTCCAGGGACCATACATGAAGTTTTCAGAGGTCTGGACACAGGTGCCAAAGGGTGCCCCGTCTCTGAGAAAGCAGGTCCTACCTCAGAGGAATGGGCCAAGGAGGGGCTGCTGGAAGAAGATCTGAGTGCAGAAATCCCTCAAACTCTGACTGAAATGTACATCCACTTCCTGCTGATTCAGATCAACATGAGGAAGCAGAAGTATGAAGAGAGAGATCCAGAGAAACTCCTGCAGTCCAACAGAGAAGTGATTGTGAAACTTGCTGAAGTGGCTTTCAAACAGCTGATGAAGGGCAATGTGATGTTCTATGAGGAGGACCTGATTGACAGTGGCATAGACCTCACTGACGCCTCAGTGTATTCTGGGATTTGCACTGAGATCTTTAAGCAGGAATCTGTTATTCATCAGAGGAAAGTCTACAGCTTCATTCATCTGAGCTTTCAGGAGTTTCTCACTGCTTTCTATGTGTTTTACTGCCATTTAATGAAGAACATGGAGCCACTGAAGGAATTCAGATCTTACACATTTTCCGGAGTATCTCTGTATGATCTACTAACATCTGCAGTAGATAAAGCCCTCAAGAGTGAGAATGGACAGCTGGATCTGTTCCTGCGGTTCCTGCTGGGCGTCTCACTGGAGTCCAATCAGAGACTCTTACAGGATCTACTGACACACACAGAGAACAGCTCCGAGACCATCAGAGAAACCACACAGTACATTAAAGAGAAGATCAAAGATCCAGATTATATTTATTATCTCTCAGCTGGTCAATCCATTAATCTGTTCCTCTGTCTGCTGGAAGTGAAAGATCAGACTCTGTTCAGAGAGATTCAGGAGTTTGTGAAATCAGACAAACACTCAGAGAAACCCTCTGATGCTCACTGCTCAACAATCTCCTACATGCTTCAGATGTCAGAGGAGCCGCTGGATGAGTTTGAACTCATGAAATACAACACATCAGATGAGGGGAGAAGAAGACTGATACCAGCTGTGATCAACTGCAGAAAAGCTCTGTGAGTGTTTCATCATTAAGAAATTAAGAATCATGTTTAATAATGAATCTAGTATCTTTAAAATGGACCATTTCTTAAATTAGAGATTTTCTTCTAAACAGCAAGCTTACAGTTTTGAAGGGGTCATGACATGACATTTTTTAGTTTTGTTTTTTATTTTTTTGACACAAAAACAGTCCTATATTTGCACAGCATGATTATTTTCTAGTCTCAGTTTGACTCTTGTCAGTAAATGTTTGCTATTGTGATTGACTAACATTGTTGCATCTCTCTCCTCATCACCTCACTGCTCAACTGCACACTGTAGGTGTTGAAGTGCTGTTTTAGAGTCATTCAAATGCAAATATATACTTTTTGCAGGTTAGTTTCATGAAATGCACTTTTTGCAGTGAGGAGGAATTTTTGAGGACTGAAAATTACAGCATTTTTATAGTATAGTGACCTCTTATATGTCAAAATATCAAATAAAGTTTGATTCATATCATGACCCCTTAACTAAATACATTCAACAACAATGAAAGATAAGAACACCATTTAATGCATCTGAGCACTGCATCTGAGGTGAGACGAGTCAACAATGGCGTCCACATGTCGGGTACCTTGTTTTGCTTTAATTAATAAACGTAATCTAATACAACAGCCATTACTGCACGAATAAGATGTAGTACATAAGATATTTATAGATATAAAAATATAAAACAAATTGCCCTTTGGGGATAATAAAGTTCACCTTGACCTTGACCTTGATTTAGTTTGAGCAGCTTGGCACTAAGAAATAGAATCAAACTCACAGATTCCTGTAATTTGTCAAGTCATATCCCAAAGACATAACTTTGCATGAATGAAATAAGGAGTCTCTCAGATTCGTAGTTCAAAACTCATAATTGTATATCTTCAGCAAAGCATATTTTGAAGCACAGCAGTAGCTGATGAACCAGTCAGGAGCTAATCTGATCTCTGATGTTGATGAACCTGATAAAATGAGCAGATTATATCCTTGCACTCAGGAACTCATCTTATTGTTATTTAGGCTGGAATGTAAAAATATTTATTTCCAGGTTCCTGAGGACAGATACTTGGGAAATTCATTTACATGTCTTTATTATTTTATTGGTTTAATTTTATTTGTTCTTTCATCTCTTCTAGATTTTCTGGCTGTAATCTCTCAGATCAGCAGTGTGT